CAACAGTGAGAAGCCTGCGTACCACACACACACACAAAAACTTTGAGATGAATAAAAATGAAGACATAAGACACCAAAAGTTATGAGATGCAGTTAAAACAGTGTTTAGAAGGAAATATATAGCTGTAAACACCTATATTAAAAAAGTAGAAAGCTATCAAATCAATAAACTAATCTTCCACCCAAAGAAACTCAACAATGAAAAGAAAGCTAAATTCATATAAGCATAAGAAAGGCAATAATAAAGACTGGAGCAAAAATAACAAAATAGAATCTAGAAAAAAAGATAAAGAAAAATGAATGAAAGCAAAAGTTGGTTCTTTGAAAAGATCAACAAAATTGACAAATCATCAGCTAGACTGACCAAGAAAAAAAGGGGAAAAGACTAAAAATCAGGAACAAAAGAGGGAATACTACTATTGACTTTACAGAAATAAAAAGGATTATAAGGGAACACTATAAACAGTTATATGCCAACAAATTAACCTCAATGAAATGAATTCCTGAAAAGATATAAACTACCAAAACTGAAGAAAGAGAAAATGTAAGTAGGCTATAACAAGTAATCAAAACTTCTCAGAGGGTTTCCCTGGTGGCACAGTGGTTGAGAGTCTGCCTGCCGATGCAGGGGACACGGGTTCGTGCCCCGGTCCGGGAAGATCCCACATGCCGTGGAGCGGCTGGGCCCGTGAGCCATGGCCGCTGAGCCTGCGCGTCCGGAGCCTGTGCTCCACAACGGGAGAGGCCACAACAGTGAGAGGCCCGCCTACCACAAAAAAACAAAACAAAACAAAAAAAACTTCTCTGAAAGAGAAGCCCATACGGCTTCACTGCTGAATGCTAGCAATCAGTAAAGAATAAACACCAATCCTTCACATGCTCTTTAGAAAAACAGAAGGAACATTTCTAAAGTTACCCTATGCGACAAACATTACCATGACACCAAAACCAGATAAAGCAATCACAGGGAAACTAAAGATAAATATGAATATTGACACAAAAATCATTAATAAAATACTAGAAAACCAAATTCAACAGCATTTTGAAAGGATTATACACCATGACCGAGTGAGATTTATTCCATGAATGCAAGACTGATACCACATACAAAAATCAAAAAGTGTAATATACCACATTAACAGGCTTAAGAAAAACCACATAATCAGAAAAATTGATGCAGAAAACAAACAACCACAGCAACAATAAAACACTGGGGAAAATTCAACATCCATTCATGATGAAAATTATCAGAAAACTAGAAATATTGAAAGAAAATACAAGACAAACCTGAAATATTTTGTGATGTCAGAATACAAGTGCTTATAAAAGGATTGGAAGAACTGTGTTTTTTTTATATTGCTGGTAGGATGTAAAAGGATACAACCACTATGGAAAAGGTTTGTCAGATTCTTACAAAAGTAAACATGTTATTATCATATGACCCGGCAATTGCACTCCAGAGAAATGAAAACTTACGTTGACACACAAATCTGTACATGATTATCTGTAGCAGCTTTATTCATAATAGCTACAAACTAGTTGTTCTTTGAATGGTGAAACAAACTGTGATACCAAATACAACGGAACACTCCTCAGTATTAAAAAGAAAAAAAACTATATATACAACAACTTGAACAAGTCTCCAGAGAATTATGCTGAGTGAAGAAAAACCCCACAAGGGTATACATTTATATAACATTCTTGAGATGATGAAATTATAGAAATGGTGAACAGATTAGTAGTTGCTAGGAGTTAAGGTTAGAGGGTATGGATGGAGGGGGACAGGAAAGGAGTGGGTGTGGCTAAAAGGGCCACATGAGGGATCCTGGTGATGATGGAAATGTTTTGTGTCATGAGTATAAAAAGAAATATATCAGTATCTTGGTTGTGATATTGTACTATACTTTGCAAGATGTTACCATTGGGGAAAGCTGGATAAATGGCCTAGAGGGACTCTTTAGTACTACTTACAGTTGCATGTGAATCACAATTATCTCAAAATAATGAGTTTAATTCTTAAAAATTAGGAACAAGCTAGATGGGCAGAAAATGATGTGCTAGAATTTCGTCATGTAGCCTCTATTTAGCTGTGAGCTTCTATACTATATTTTGAGGGCCCTGAGAACAAAGTCTATATATAAATCATACTCTTATCACAGTGCTTGACAAAAAGAGGCCATTCCATAAGTGTACCTTGAGTGGACAGGCTGTAGGAAGCCATTAAAAGTCTTCTGAGCAGAGACACAAGAATGAGACAGTGTCTTGACAAAGAGATGCCTCCTAAATGCTTGTGCTGTTGAATAGAGAATAAGTGATGCTCAACAAAGCTGTCTTTTACATCAGACATGAATTTGGGTCCCAGATCTATCACATACTCTCTGAACTTTGATTTCTTTATTTGTAAAATTAGTTATCACAATACTAACACATGTAGTTGTTTTATGGGCTAATTGATAAAGAGTATGTAATCATTTAGCAAAAAGTAAGTGCTAGAATATAATTAGCACTCTATGCATGTTAGATGCTATTATCATTGTCTTTATTATTATTGTCGTTGCTGTCATTATAATCCTGATAGTTACTCAGGGAGACAAAAAGAAACCATGTAACCACATTCCCTTCAGTACAGATGCAAAAAAGAATAAGAAAGAACACACACCCTGTTCCCCTTTTCTCCCACCTAGGTAAACACAATTTTCTTTTTTCTATAATTCACATTTCATCAACTTTTTATTAAAGTTGTCGGCATACCTGGGCCATTATATAACTTTATGTCTCTCCTCTTCTTCTCAAATACTTGTTAAGAAACTTTCATTTTATGATATATCCAATTTGTAAAATACTGTCTATTCTAATTAATACATAATGTTACACTGCTAACCGTTTGTGGGAATATGAGAACTGACTATAATGGATATGTAGCACACTCCCTAGATAATTATGCAGAGGGAGTAAATACTCCCAATTAAATTCATAAACAAATTACATGTTCTTAAAATGTTTTATGACTAAATTCCAGTCTAGAACATTTCACTATACCTTAGAAGGTATGGATGGTAAAACAGAAATTATCTTATTGCTTTTAGTATACACAGATCATCTTCTCCTTCCAAATACATTTTTAATACATTTCTGTACTACCAAAATTCATTTTTAATCATGGTGTTTTGAATGCAAAATATACTTCCATAGAATTTATGTTATTTAATGATGACTGCATTTACAAAATGACTTACTAAAGCTGACTTAAATACATTTGGTAATTTTTTTGATCAAGTATTAATAATTCTACTACCCAGTTAGGGCATAGCCAAATTCAACTAGTTTACCAGAGCAGTCAAATGGTAGACATGGCTAAATAAACCTCACGTCCAATTCTGTATAATCCTTCCTTCTTTCCTTCCATGCACTCTTTTTCTAACTACAAAGATAATACAGGTTCACTTTTTAAAACATATAATTTAGGGATTATATATATATATATATATATATATATATATATATATATATATATTTGAAATCTACTTTTTCTATTTAATAGTATAGCATAAGCATGTACCCACATTGTTAAATACTCTTGTACAACATATATTTTAATGGCTTCATGTACTGTCATAGACAGTAATATATTTAACTACTTATCAATTATTGAAGATTTGTGTTGTTTACAATTTTCCACTATCACAGGTAAAGCTACAATCACGTTCATCTTTTAAATATAATGAATATTTAGACTTTATATTTACACAAACACATAGTCCGTGGTGCCCTCAAAAGTTGTGCCCCATCCTGAATCTTAACCCATGTGGTAAAGCTAAGAGCTCAAAAGAAAAAAAGACCAGGGTGCTTGCTATTCCTTAATCTGCCCTTAAATTGGACAGACACCTCCAATTCTCTGATGACAGCCTCCTCACCTGTAAAAATGAGGGCACTGAACTAGGTCATAAATAAGTTTTCTTATACATTCTAGAATAAAATGATTAAGAATGCCTTAAACTCAAAGAAGAAAAGGGACTAACTGGCCAGATGCTTTGGTCTCCAGTGATTCTACTTTCAGAGAAGTCAGTGCTCTCTCCCCTCCTCAAGGATAATGGAGAAGAAGGGACATGCAGATGAGAGAAAGAAGGACAGGAAAGAGGAAAGAGCTCCAATGTCAGGTTAAACAATAACAACTTTGGAGAAGCTTCAATAGTGAAAGCAGAGGAAGAAGTGGAATGGATAAAGATGAAAATCAATGGAAGATGCTTTCAAAGGGCATTATTCCAGGTCCACCAAGAAGTAGACAATAAGAGGTTTCAATAAGTAAGAGATTTATTAGGGGAAAGGCATGTGAAGGAAATAGCAAGGGAGCTAAGAGAGGCTGAGAAAGCCATCAGACTGCAATGCAGGTCAGAAATGGGGTAAAAGAGAAAGAGAAGAAAGAAGAATGCTGGTGGCAGAATCCCTTGATAGCAAGGCTGTCAGGGAGTCCTGAGCCAGAGTCTCCCATCAGAGGAGTCCCATGCCTCCCAGTAATGGGCCTCATTTAGTACCCTTGCTGCATTTAGTTACTGACTGGGAGCATCTATGGGAAGCATGGCCTTGTTACAAACAGGGTGATGGATTTCAAAACACAGTGGAGCACCTTATCAATGACACTCCCCACAGTTGATGATCTGAAAGACTCACTTTCATGGCTGTCACACACTGGATACCAGTATTTAAAGCAAATCCCAGGTTAGAACCACTGTTCTATAAAATGGTGATAAAATTGTATGCTTATTTGATTTTCTGCCAACACATAAAAGAATAGACACTATCTGATTCCATTTATATCAAGTTCAAAACCAAACTAATCAATGATGATAGATATCAGAAAGTGGTTGCTTCTAGGGGGGTATGGTAAAAATTGAGCACAGAAAACTTCAGTATCAAATAATGGAGATAAAAGCATGAAAGTTGAAGATTGCCAGTAAAGAGAATTACCCAAATAGCCATCGGTTTGTTTCTTACAAACTTACTCTAGGAGCTTCTGTGCATCATAGTATCCAATTGGATGAACAGGAATACTTGGAAGACCAACAGCCTCTGCGATTTCACATCTATAAGCATATTCTGAAAAAAAGTTGAACATACTTCTAATAAAAATGGAGTCCCTTTCAAAATGTTCTCTGTAAATCAGATTAAACACATTCTTAAATTGCATCTACTAGAACTGTTACAATTAGAAAGACAGTTTCAAATGTTAGCGAAAATGTGGAGCAACTGAAACTCTCATACATTCTTGTAAGAGTGTATAATTAGAGAGTCACTTTAAATAACTTCTTTGAAAAATAATGTTATGCAGAATTATGCCCTATGGCAGAACAATTACACTCCTAGGTATTTACCCAAGAAAGATGGAAACATATGCCCACAAAAAGACCTGCACAAAATTGCTCATAGCAGCTGAATCTAGGTAGCCCATATGGGACACAGTCCAGCTGTTTGTAAATAGGAGAATGAATAAGCAATTTGTAGAACAGTCCCATAATAGAATTCTACTCAGCAAGTAAAGGGAAGAAACTATTAACACACACAATAACATGAGTAATCTCTAATCGTTGTACTGAGTAAGAGCAGCAAGGCAAATGATGAGGGAAAATCATAAATTTTTCTATGACCGGGAAATCAAACTAAGAAAGGAAAAAAATAATATGCCCGCTTTGTGGTAGGCCTTTCCCAATGTTCAGTGTGCATCTGTATTGTACATTAACCAGACCTCCTCAAACAGGAGGATGTAATCACCTTTAAGAAAAATGGTTGCTTTATTCAGACAATTTTCAGGTTATTTTAGTTTCTTTTTCATCCCATACAGGGAGTTGTATTGACCAAAACATCTTTGATCAACTTTATGTAGAATGCTAACCTGTCAATACAACACAGAAATTCTTTGTCTCAGAAATGTATAAAATTGCATCTCTAACTCCTGACCAATGGAACAGTTCTCAGAGCTTCTGCAAATCTGTTCCCTGGGTTATAATCCTCAGTTTGACTCAAATAAAATTCTCTTTTCTTTCTTCTTAGCTTGACTGTTATTTGATTTTCCACCAACACACAAAAGAATAGTTACTATCTGATTCCATTTATATGAAGTTCAAAACCAAACTAATCAATGATGACAGATATCAGAAAGTGGTTGCTTCTAGGGGAATATGGTAAAAATTGACCAGAAAGGGGCACCAGAGAACTTTCTGGAGTCATAGAAATGTCCTATATCTTATTTTGAGTGATATAGATACATGTAATTTAAAAAAATTATTGAATTAACTCAAGACCTGTGCATTTTGTTACATGTAAACTCTACCTCAAAATAAAAACACATTTTCTGTCATTTCTTCAGATTTAAGAAAAATAAGAGCTATTTTTCCATTTTTTTCTTCAAAGTTTTAAATTATAAGAGCTTTAGGGGATTGCAAAAGCTATTCTTTTTATAGTAAAATGACATAATAATATGTTGCATGGGATTTGTTTTAAAATTCTTTAGGGTAATAATGCAAAAGGAAAGACGAAGAGATAAAATAAGATTGACAAAGTGGTGACAATTTTCTCTATTTTTTTGTATGTTAGAACTATTCCATAATAAAAACTAAAATTAAAAGGAAAAGAAAAAAATAGGGCACAAAAGGGAATTCAACAAATGCAAGCCTCACAGGGATAACATGATTTTTCTTTCTACAATGTCATCTTTTAAATTTGAGGATAATAAACAGAAATAGTCCAGTTAATCTTATTTTATGTTCACATGTTTTTTTTGTGTGTGTGGTATGCGGGCCTCTCACTGCTGTGGCCTCTCCCGTTGCGGAGCACAGGCTCCGGACGTGCAGGCTCAGCGGCCATGGCTCACGGGCCCAGCCCCTCCACGGCATGTGGGATCTTCCCGGACCGGGGCACGAACCCGTGTCCCCTGCATCAGCAGGAGGTACAATTTTAACTTTATATAACCAACAGAGCTTGGGAGAAGTTGCATTTTTCAAAGCTTGGGAATAAAAAGGCTAAGTAAGTAAAGTTCAGGTAGACTTAAGTGATTTTATTATAGGATAATATGTATTGCTTTACAAAAATCTATGATAATGTACTATATTCCAAGATTTACGAAGCCAAAATGCATAAACTTTAAAGGAGTTTACAATTTGATAGAAAAACCAGATGAAATATAAATATGGAAATGCCATGGATACTTGGTAACCTATTTTATCCAAGGTACACACCTTAGTTAGTTTTAAACCACACAAATTAAGTGATCACAGATTTTTGTAAATGTCATCAACTAGCTGAGTACATTCAAAATAAATTAGCTCCCTTTGTTAATGATCTACTGTTTTACAGCAGAGCATTTCAGCATAAGACAAACATGTGGACTCCGGAGCCAGACCATCTGAATTTGAATCCCCACTCCTCATTTAGTGGTGTGATGGTCTAGGGCAGAGTTTGCTTATTTCTAGTCTCGCTTCCCTCCTCTATCAAGTAGAGATAATAACATAACAAAGCTTATAGGGTTGTTAAGGCATGTAAGAGCTAGCATTTAGGAAATACTCCTTGAAAGTGATCACTATTATCTTTATACAGCAATGATACAATAAGCATTTTCTAGGCTCTAAATTCTAAATGTCATTTCAGGGATTTATAGAACTTCTTTTGTTCTACTATCCCTTATCTACAACTAGAAATTTTAAAAACTGTGAAATCCATTAATTGGGGGGAATTTACTTGTCAACAAAACATGATCTGATGTAAACTAATTTGGAAGCAAGATCTGACTTGAATAGACAGACTATATTACTTACATTCCTCTGCTTAATATGATTATTCATACATTTTACTGCAAAAATATTTACATGCTTGCTTCCCATTTTATGTTCCAGCCTCCTATGTGAATGTTATGCAAGAAATGGTATATGCACCATATTACTTTTAAATATCTGAAAATGTCTGCATTTCAAAACCTATCAGACCCGAGGATTCCAAATAAGGGATAAGGGACCCGAACCAACAATTTTCTGAGTTCAAATTCCTTTATTCTTAGACACAAAGAGAACGAGAAAAAGACATACTTTATCCATGTGTCAAAGGAAATCCTTTGGTAAAATCACTTTACAATGTTAAGGTTTTTGTGATGATTAAGGCCTGGTCACTCACCATTTGCTGGGTAGCCAGGTGTGAGAGGGTCCCCTGCACCATTAAGATTTAAGATATTTCCACGCTGAACACCACCTCCAGGAAGATTCCAACCACCTGGATAGGACTCCACCCCGGGAGCAAAGTAATCAGCAGGATCTGAGTACAAAATGATCCCTTTGGCCCCAGCCAGCTGGGCATTTTTAACCTGGAATAGACAGTCTTTCATATTTTAGGTTGGTAACTCAAAATTACTCTTAAATAAGTAGCTAAACTTTATCTTCAATCTTTTATCCTTAGACTTAAAACAAGGGACATCTCACAGAGAGTTGGCTTTTTCTTTTTCCTACTGCAAGCTCTAAAAATGAGTTTCCAGGGCTGAATCAGCCCTCAGAGCAGCAGATTTTAAAAATGTACATATTAGTGGTAGTGAGTATGTGCTACTTCCTTCCTCTAGTCTAGAAGCACAATAAGCAAGTAGACTCCACAGACTAGACTCCCATTTCTTCTATGGTTGAGAGGGAATATTTCTGAAATTTAGTTTCCCACAAAAAAGGAAAAAATATTAGCAAATCAAGCCAAATTAAGTGATAGTAACTTTCAAAACTGCTGTGTATAAATTGGTTTCTCTCATTACCTATAATAAGAATACTAAAATTTAATTTAGTAAATATTTTCAAAGGTAACATTTAAAACAAAGATACTGAAGGTTAATAACAAATCAAATGCATGCTTCTTTGTAGACCACAGGCATAATGTGTAGGTATGGAAAAAACCTGTTCTGTTTCCCTGAACTTCTACCCTGGCCGAATTCAAATGACCCAGTTTAAAACCCCTGTATATAAGCTAGAAAATGTATCTTCCCTATTAGGTGGGCTGGTACAGAGTATGAGAAGATCACAGTCCTCCAAAAGTTTTAAGGATGTGGTTCTACCCATGTAAGATACAATATAACTTTTTATTTTTGTGGAAAAGAAAAAAAGATTATTTTTTACCTTATTTCCTCTGAAAATTTTCCCATATCTGGCAATCAGAATCTTCCCAGAGCAATTAATTTTCATGTCCCGCTCTAGTTTAAAGAAGTCTTCAGTTCGTGCGTAGTTAACATAGACTAGGTCACCCTGTTGAGATCATGGATGACTTACTACAAGTAAGATTTAATAAAAGAGGTTTTTCTGCGTGAAGACTGTTTCACATCTTTGAAAGAGGTAAGAGACAAGAGTATGCAAGAGGGTCAGAAAAGCATGAGCCTCAGGTAAGAGATTCAACAGAGAAATGAACTTGAATTAAGAAGGCAATTACCTGGGTAGAGACTTATGAGTTAACTATTAAGTTCTGTTTATGTTGATGTCTCCTGTAAAGTGACCATAAAACTATAGAAGTGTTCGTCAGGAAAATACACATAAATATACACACTGCAATTTGGCAGGGGTCAGATATCCGAGGTGAAAAAGCCCTAGATGAGAGCTGTATTCTCTTTGAAGTATATTCACAATGGGTCTTCACACCACCAGGTAAAAAAGAAATGTCAGGTAATACTGCTTTATGGGTCTGGCTTCAGGATTAGGCGCGAGTATGCTAACATCTCGGAGTATCAACATTATCATTTGTAAAATGGCCTGTTAGATTAGATCAGTGTTCTTCATACATTTTTTCTGCTCACCTACTCCCTAGATTATTTTTGAAGAGAAATGTATCCCTCCTTTATTTTTTATAATTTGGATTTTTTTAAACATCTTTATTGGAGTATAATTGCTTTACAATGGTGTGTTAGTTTCTGCTGTATAACAAAGCGAATCAGCTATAGGTATACATATATCCCCATATCCCCTCCCTCTTGCATCTCCCTACCACCCTCCCTATCCCAACCCTCTAGGTGGTCACAAAGCACTGAGCTGATCTCCCTGTGCTATGCGGCTGCTTCCCGCTAGCCATCTGTTTTACCTTTGGTAGTGTATATATGTCCATGCCACTCTCTCACGTCGTCCCAGGTTACCCTTCCCCCTCCCTGTGTCCTCAAGTCCATTCTCTACATCTTTGTCTTTATTCCTATCCTACCCCTAGGTTCTTCAAAACCACTTTTAAAAAAATTTTTAGATTCCATATATATGTGTTAGCATACAGTATTTGTTTTTCTCTTTCTGACTTCACTCTGTATGACAGATTCTAGGTCCATCCACCTCACTACAAATAACTCAATTTCATTTCTTTTTATGGCTAATATTATATTGTATATATGTGCCACATCTTCTTCACCCATTCATCTGATGATGGACACTTAGTTTGCTTCCATGTCCTGGCTATTATAAACAGTGCTGCAGTGAACATTGTGATACATGTCTATTTTTGAATTATGGTTTTCTCAGGGTATATATGCCCAGTAGTGAGATTGCTGGGTCGTATGTATGGTAGTTCTTTTAAAAATTTTTAAGGAACCTCCATAGTGGCTGTATCAATTTACATTCCCACCAACAGTGCAAGAGGGTTCCCTTTCCTCTACACCCTCTCCAGCATTTATTGTTTGTAGAATTTTTGATGATGGCCATTCTGACTGGTATGAGGTAATACCAAATTGTACTTTTGATTTGCATTTCTCTAATGATTAGTGATGTTGAGCATCCTTTCATGTCTTTGTGGGCAATCTGTATATCCTCTCTGAGGAAATGTCTGTTTAGTCTTCTACCCATTTTTGGATTGGGTTCCTTGATTTTTGATATTGAGCTGCATGAGCTTCTTGTATATTTTGGAGACTAATCCTGTGTCAGTTGCTTCATTTGCAAATATTTTCTCCCATTCTGAGGGTTGTCTTTTTGTCTTGTTTATGGTTTCCTTGCTGTGCAAAATCTTTTAAGCTTCATTAGGTCCCATTTGTTTATTTTTGCTTTTATTTCCCTTTCTCTAGGAGGTGGGTCAAAAGGGATCTTGCTGTGATCTTGCTGTGATTTATGTCATAGAGTGTTCTGCCTATGTTTTCCTCTGAGAGTTTTATATTGTCTGGCCTTACATTTAGTTCTTTAATCCATTTTGAGGGGTTTTTTTGTGTATGGTGTTAGGGAGTTTTCCAATTTCATTCTTTTACATGTGGCTGTCCAGTTTTCCCAGCACCACTTATTGAAGAGGCTGTCTTTTCTCCATTGTATATTCTTGCCTCCTTTATCAAAGATAAGGTAACCATAGATACATGGGTTTATCTCTGGGCTTTCTATCCTGCTCCATTGATCTATATTTCTGTTTTTGTGCCAGTACCATACTCTCTTGATTACTGTAGCTTTGTAGTATAGTCTGAAGTCAGGGAGCCTGATTCCTCCAGCTCTCTTTTTCTTTCTCAAGATTGCTTTGGCTATTCGGGGTCTTTTGTGTTTCCATACAAATTGTGAAATCTTGTGTTCTAGTTCCATGAAAAATGCCATTGGTAGTTTGATAGGCATTGCATTGAATCTGTAGATTGCTTTGGGTAGTAGAGTCATTTTCATTCACAATGTTGATTCTTCCAATCCAAGAACATGGTATACCTCTCCATCTGTTTGTGTCATTTGTAACTTCTTTCATCTGTGTCTTATAGTTTTCTGCATACAGGTCTTTTGTCTCCTTAGGTAGATTGATTCCTAGGTATTTTATGCTTTTATTGCAATGATAAATGGGAGTGTTTCCTTAATTTCTCTTTCAAATTTTTCATCATTAGTGTATAGGAATGCAAGAAATTTTTGTGCATTAATTTTGTATCCTGCTACTTTACCAAATTCATTGATTAGCTCTATTGGTTACCTGGTAGCATCTTTAGGAGTCTCTATGTATAGTATCATGTCATGTGCAATCAGTGACAGTTTTACTTTTGCTTTTCTGATTTGGATTCGTTTTATTTCTTTTTCTTCTATGGTTGCTGTGGCTAAAACTTCCAAAACTATGTCGAATAATAGTGGTGAGAGAGGGCAAACTTGTCTTGTTCCTGATCTTAGTGGAAATGGTTTCAGTTTTCCACCAACATTGAGAACAATGTTGGCTGTGGATTTGTCATATATGGCCTTTATTATGTTAAGATAAGTTCTCTCTATGCCCACTTTCTGGAGGGTTTTTATCATAAATGGGTGTTGAATTTTTTCCAAAGATTTTTCTGCATCTATCAAGATGATCATATGGTTTGTCTCCTTCAATTTGTTAATATGGTTTATCACATTGATTGATTTGCATACATTGAAGAATCCTTGCACTCCTGGGATAAACCCCACTTGATCATGGTGTATGATCCTTTAAATGTGCTGTTGGATTCTGTTTGCTAGTATTTTGTTGAGGAGGTTTGCATCTATGTTCATCAGTGATATTGGCCTGTACTTTTCTTTTTTTGTGACATCTTTGGTTTTTGTATCAGGTGGCTGTGGCCTCATAGAATGAGTTTGGGAGTGTTCCTCCCTCTGCTATATTATGTAAGAGTTTGAGAAGGATAGGTGTTAGCTCTTCTCTAAATGATAGACTTCGCCTGTGAAGCCATCTGATCCTGGGCTTTTGTTTGTTGGAAGATTTTTAATCAGTTTCAATTTCAGTGCTTGTGATTGGTCTGTTGATATTTTGTATTTCTTCCTAGTTCAGTCTCAGAAGGTTGTGCTTTTCTAACAATTTGTCTATTTCTTCCAGGTTGTCCATTATATTGGCAGAGTTGCTTGTAGTAATCTCCCATGATCCTTTGTATTTCTGCAGTGTCAGTTCTTACTTCTCCTTTTCATTTCTAATTCTATTGATTTGACCCTTTTCCCTTTTTTTTCTGATGAGTCTGGCTAATGGTTCATCAATTTTGTTTATCTTCTCAAAGAACCAGCTTTTAGTTTTATTGCTCTTTGCTATTGTTTCCTTCATTTCTTTTTCACTTATTTCTGATCTGATCTTTATGATTTCTTTCCTTCTGATAACTCTGGGGTTTTTTTGTTCTTCTTTCTCTAATTTCTTTAGGTGTAAGTTTAGGTTGTTTATTTGAGATGTTTCTTGTTTCTTGAGGTAGTATTGTATTGCTATAAACTTCCCTCTTAGAACTGCTTTTGCTGCATCCCATAGATTTTGGATCATTGTGTTTTCATTGTCATTTGCCTCTAGGTGTTTTATGATTTCCTCTTTGATTTCTTCAGTGATGTCTTGGTTATTTAGCAACATATTGTTTATCCTCCAAGTGTTTGTGTTTTTTACATTTCTTTCCCTGTACTTTATTTCTAATACCATAGCGTTGTGGTCAGAAAAGATGCTTGATATGATTTCAATTTTCTTAAATTTACTGAGGCTTGATTTGTGACCCAAGATGTGATCTATCCTGGAGAATGTTCCATGAGCACTTGAGAAGAAAGTGTATTTCATTGTTTTTGGATGGAATGTCCTATAAATATCAATTAAGTCCATCTTGTTTAATGTGTCATTTAAAGTTTGTGTTTCCTTATTTATTTTCATTTTGGATGATCTGTCCATTGGTGAATGTGGGGTGTTAAAGTCCCTTACTATTACTGTGTTACTGTTGATTTCCCCTTTTATGGCTGTTAGCATTTGCCTTATGTATTGAACTGCTCCTATGTTCAGTGCATAAATATTTACAATTGTAATATCTTTTTGGATTGATCCCTTGGTCATTATGTAGTGTCCTTCTTTGTCTCTTGTAACAGTCTTTATTTTAAAGTCTATTTTTTCTGATATGAGAATTGCAACTCCAGCTTTCTTTTGATTTCCTTTTGCATGGAATATCTTTTTCCAACCCTTCACTTTCAGTCTTATGTGTGCCTAGGTCTGAAATGGGTCTCTTGTAGACAGCATACATATGGGTCTGGTTTTTGTACCCATTCAGCCAGTCTATGTGTTTTGGTTCGAGCATTTAGTCCATTTACATTTAAGGTAATTATCAATATGTATGTTTGTATTATCATTTTCTTAATTGTTTTGTGTTTATTACTGTAGGTCTTTTCCTTCTCTTGTATTTCTGCCTAGAGAAGTTCCTTTAGCATCTGCTGTAAAGCTGGTTTGGTGTTGCTGAATTCTCTTAGTTTTTGTTGTCTGTAAAGGTTTTAATTTCTCTGTCAAATCTGAATGAGATCATTGCTGGGTAGAGTAATCTTGGTTGTACGTTTCTCCCTTTCATCACTTTCAATATGTT